AGGAATCTATAAAAAAAAAACTGCAGCTAATTTTTTTTAATTTTAATGAATATTTCTTGGCACCCAGCTATCCAAATTCGACCAATTTTTTTTATTTCAATTCTATAAATCCATAGAATTAAAATAAAAAAAAATTCATCGAATTTTGGTAGATGGTTGTCGAGAAACGTTAATTTAAAATCTAAATGAAATATTTATTGCAACATTTCTTTTTCTTAAATTCTCTTAAATATCTTAAACCGAAGCTTTCCCAATAGTTGGGTGCTGAGAATTATTTATTAAAAGTTAAAAAAAATTGGCTGTGGTTTTTTTTTTATAGATATCTAAACTTTGAACAAAAATTACTCAGCATCTATCTAACCAAATTCGATTAATTTTTTTTATTTTAATTTTATAAGCTTATATAATTAAAATAAAAAAAAATTGATTGAAGTTGGTCAGGTAGGTATTGAGTAATATTTGTTCAAATTTTGGGTATCTATAAAAAAAAAAGCTGTGGCTAAATGTTTTTTTAATATTTAATGAATGTTTCTCAACAATTATCTATACAAATTCAATAAATTTTTTTTTATTTTAATTATATAAGTTTTCAAAATTAAAATAAAAAATTTTTATTGGATTTGGATAGGTAGTTGTCGAGAAATCTTTGTTTAAAGTTCAGAAAAAGAAAATTTTGCCTGATTTTTCATTCTTTTTCTAAAATTTTCTAATTTTTTTTTTAATTTCTAGCTAGGATTTCTTGACAACTACTAAACCAAATTCAATAAATTTTTTTGTATTTTGATTCTACAAAAGTATAGAATTAAAATAAAAAAAATTTTATTAAATTTGATCAAGTAGTTATTGAGAAACCTTTGTTAGAAGTTTGAAAAATCTTAAAAATTTTGGATAATTGCTAAATTTTGATTGATTATACAAAATTTTTAGATTGGTAATGCTAGGATGGTTAATTCAATACACTAACTAGACCAGATTTACTAAAACTCGCTATAACCCGGCTCAGCTTATAACCCACATATATCCAAAATACAAATTGATCAATTTATCTTTATAGCCAATGTTGGTACTAGATATATGTTTAACTATTTTTATACTATTAGACTGAACTGAATATTAGACTTAAACATATATATTTCTAGTCCAATATGTCCAATAATGATTTATATATTACACAATATCCATTGTATAATACTTTTTGGTCTAATGGATTGGATTGGACTAGATAAATATAGTTTAATATCCATATCTAATATTCAAGCCCAATATTGTTTATAGCTGTTTTTATAATTTCCGAAACATTTGATAAAAATTTGCTAAATAGTTTTTTGGTTGATCCAGTTAAGTTATTGATTTTGGCATGATCAATAAATTACAATATTATATATTTAAATATATGTTTTCACATAGATACATATATCAAAATTAATGTTACTTTTTTTTTTTTAGATATTTCTTTATAAATAGGACTTAAATACTCTTGTAGACAATGTTATTAAATATCTTGCATATTGGTAATTGTCACATCATTTTATTATATAATTTATTACTCAACGTGATAAATAATATATTAAATAAATACAACAATTACTAATATGCAAGATATTTGACAATACTGCTTGTAGATAAGTGGTTAGATAGAAATGTAAAAGAATATGCCAAATCTGACAATAGAGTATAAAACTCTTGATTATTTAATTTATTTAAGATGCAGTTGTCTCTGCTTGTTTTTATCTAATTTTATTGAGTAAATATATAGTTACATGATTTATAATTGTTATTCTTAACTAGAACAAGTATTGTTATACCCCACATTGGGTTATATGCATAGTAATTTTTTAATATATGTTATACACTAATATGAAAGTATGTATCTTATTGCTATAAAAGTACATATTACATATACTTAAGAGCATATCACAAGATTGTAGTCACGTATAAAATGTTTTCTCTAAAACATTATACTAGAGTTATTTAATAATCATAAACGTGTATTCTTTTCATAAACTTTATGATATCTCATAATTTTTATTTCAACAAACTATATTTTTGATTGTCTTAAGTTGTTCTCCAAGAAAAAAAATAAAATCTTACAGTGGCTTTTTATTTCGATATCAACAAATGATTGTTAAGTCATCATTATTATCTTCAAACTGGGACAACCTTAACAACCTTGATAATACTTGGGTATTCTATTTTTTACATAAAACAAAAAAATAGATAATTCCAATAATTTGAATAATAAGGTGCATTTTTTTAATAGTTACTAGATAGATAAGAATAACTTCTAGTCAAGCTGAGAAGTTTCTAGTTTGATCTAAAAAAATTACCAAATCATCAATTGCTAGTAACTATTCCAGTTTTGGGTACTCTAGTTTGTTATTGGTAAAGGTCTGCTGATTTCGTAAATAGGAATCAGTATGTATCTTTGTAACTAAGTAGAAACATTGCATGTTGCTAAGAATTACTAGTAATTCTTTTTTAACAGATAAAAATAGAATATTCTATGTTAAAAAACTATTGAAAAGATATTGTAGAGAAATGCAAGTTGGTAAGTACAAGTTATGATTAGAATCAAATTTATAAATTATTAAAATATTTAATATTATTTCAGAGATGTGATCTTTCGGTATATAAAGCTAACAGAGAATATCTTTCTCAAATTCTTAATAATTTTGATAATATTATACAAACAATAAACATTAAGCTTGTAGAAATTTTGAATAAATAGAATAATAATACAAAGAAAGATTTAATAAATGATAATTCTAAAAATAATTACAATTTAAATGAATCTTGGAGAATTTAACAAAGAAAGAATAAAGCTAAGGCTCAGATAAAAAAATCTAATTTATATATTAATTTTTTAATATAATTAAATAAATTAATTAGTTAATTTATATTGAAGAATAATATATTGGATTTATTAAATACTAAAGAGAATCATAATTTTTAATACTATCAGCATTAGGATGTCCAAAATCAAGGTCAAGATAATCAGTATTAGAATATCAAAGTCAAGATAATTAACACCAAGGTGTTCAAGATTAAGGTAAACAATATCAGAAGCATCAGGATATTTAATATCAAGGTCAAGATGATCAGTATCAAGGTATCCAAGATCAAGGTAAACAGTATCAGAAATATCAGGATATTCAATATCAAGATCAAAGCAATCATTATTAGGATGTCCAAGATCAAGATAAATAGTATCAAAAGCATCAGGATATTTAATATCAAGGTCAAAATGATTATTATTAGGGTGTTCGAGATCAAGATAAACAGTATCAAAAGTATCAGGATATCCAAAATCAAGGTGATTAGCATCAGAACATCTAATGTCAAAGTAATTAGTATGTCCAAGATCAAGGTAAACAGTGTTATGATGTTTAATATCAAGGTGATCAGTATGTTCAAGATTAAGATAAACAGTGTTATGATATTTAATATCAAGATGAACAAAATAGTCAAGGTCATCAAATTAATCAGCATTAAAGCAACCACTATCAAGATGATCAAAATCACAACAATCATTGTTAGTAGCACAAAACAATAAAAAACATAAAGCAATATATACAAATCACTATTTTAAAAGAAAAAGTAAAACATGTATTAATATCCAGTAGAACAAACGAACTAAATAATCTCAACCATTTTCTGAACCTGGTCAAATTTCCTATAGTGATTTTTTGGTTCTAGTTCTAACTTTGGTTAGATTTTCTGTGATGGTTTTTCTGGTTCTAGTTCTAACTCCTATGGCTCCCAACATCAAATTACTAAAAGGAATCTTTGAAATCTAAAATGGCTCAACTATTATGTGGGTTCCCTGCCAAGAAAATAATATACTAATAAGTCTGTAAGTATAAACAAATTGCTATATTTTTTTATAGATTATAGTATTTAACTTTTATATTCATAGATTTCCGAACTGTTATCATCACCAATACCATTTTTACAATCTCCACTACCATCACCAATGTCTATTTGTTTACAATATCCTTAGCATTGCTTTTAGATTATAATTAAACTTTTAATTGTATTTTTGTTGGCTCTTTTTACTTAATATTTTTTCTAATGAAATTTTATTGTATTGAGCTTTGAGCTAATCATATATGCTATTATACTGGTAAATTTACATAATCTAATTGATAGAAAACTATTAATTATAAAATTATGAATTATCTAACTATATAGATTTAAAATAGAGTTGTTCTATGTTAGCAGATATAAACTTAATTCAATCAAAATATTTAAAATAATTTTATAATTTTGTTGTTTCATTGATAAATATGATCAATTTATTTTTATTATACTAATACAAATTTTTATCTGTTACGCATATCGCAAAATTTTTAAGCAAATATATATCGATATATAGCAGTTAATCGATATATATCGATTAAAAATTATTAATATATATCGATTAACTGCTATATATTGATATATATCACTAATGATAAATAATGATTATTGATATATAATGATTATAATCACTATCAATTAATAATGATTTTATATAACCACAACTCTTTCTGACGATCTTCTGGACAATGCAACAAAAAACTAAACTACAGGAAAATATTATAGAAAGGTCCAAGAATATACTATTTGTAGTCCTGTCACTGTGTAAACAGTTGTCAACAAAGCCTATAGATGTGAAATACCGAGAATTGGGCGTAACTTGGGTGGTTTTTCTTGGGGTCAAGCTTTTTGCTAATAGTGGACTCCCCAAGATATTTGGCATCCAAACTAGAAGGTTTATTCTGGGAACTGAACTTACTTTTGATCAGATTGCTGTTAATGAAGCTTGAAAGATGTGAAACACTGAGAAGCAGGCATAACTTAAGTGGTTTTTTCTGGGGTCAAGTTTTTGTTCTTCTCTTGTAACAGACTCTCTAGGATATTTAGCATTCAAACTAGAAGATTTATTCTAGAAGCAAGAGTGGACCAGCCCTCGCTATATTAGTATAAGCTTGAAGATACAACTATATGACTGTAAAACTTACAGAAGAACCTCACACACTCTCATTGGCCCCCACTTGTTTTTCAGAAAAAATTTTGTAAAAAGTGGATGATTTAGTTTACCTTCTCCAAAAGATCGACATATTGTTTACTTACCAAATCAGGTAGTATTATTTATATTTATTGTTGGGGATGATGCTGAAATCGGATGATGCTGAAATTCATGTGATCACATGATGATCTTCCGTATAAACAAACCTAAAGTGTTTATAGAACTCTAGCATCACCAACTAAAAAATTTC